ATGCTTGGCCTTGCGCACATTCTGGAAGGGAGTAGAGCGCAGGAAACTCGGACAGGGCACAGCCTCTTCGGCCTCTCAAGCCAGCACAAAAGACTGGAGGGCGCCTGGCATCTCACAATCGAGCATTTCGGCATGCGGGAGCGCTGCGAGAGTGACTTCTGGATAGTGTGCCCAAGGAGGAAGCCTCGGGGTGGCAGCGAGGTGAAAGAGAAAGCGGGAGAGCGGCAGCCATAGCCGAGCTGCTCGCTCCATAGCCAGTGGAGGATAAGCAAAGGTCCTTAGTGGAACAGGGAGTGGGTGAAGGAAGAAAGGCAGTGTGCGAGGCACATACCTGGTGTTGATGAAGGCAGGTTGTTCATCACAGTCTTCAAGCAGCATTGGGAAGATGACACGTGGACCACTTCTCGACAGAAGTAGGCTACCGTAGTCTGATAGGAGTTGTAGGAGGTACATTAGGACGGGCTGAATTGCTGTTCTATTGGTGATAAGAGGCGTTGGAAAGGCTTTTGGCCGTTCATATCCCGTCGAACGTGTCATGGATCCGACAGGTCCATGAAAGATGGGATCTTTCTCTTTTCTGCAAGGAGCTCGCACTGGAGAAACTCAGATTACAAGCATCATGATCTCTCTCTTAACCAGCATGCACAAAGCAACGAGGAGATTAGCAGAACTGACCACTCATATACATGGATTTTCATTCCAATCTGGTTGGTTTGGCCGAGCATATGGTCTTGGACTCGGGATGACACCATACAACGGAGTTCCATGATTTACGGCTCCAGGGCCTTCAGCCTCCAGGGATCATTCAATATACCATTGCACACCATGAAAGATACCCATTATTATAACATTAAGGGCCGTGTGAGCACTACAACCTGGTCTGAAAAGCAATGTGAATAAGTGGAAAAGCGGGGTTTAAAAAAACGCTGAAATTTTGGGCCTCCGTTAACCGTCTCTCTCATAAATAGGTTCTAAGATCATTCGAAGAACTTCTCGGCTCGCCACTTTGCAGCAGCTCTCTCTCTCTCTCCCCCCACACATATATCTATCTATCTATCTATCTACCTCTCTCTCTATAGATAGATAGATAGATAGATAGATAATGGTCAATTCAAGCTGTCTGAGTCTCTTTGCTGATGAAAGCTCTCCTCTACTGCAACGATGAATTACAACGACAATGGTTCCCTGCTCTTGCTTGTCCTTGGTACAGCCCGAATGAACCCCAAAAACCTCCACCACCTACTCTGTTCAAACCTACGCCGGGTGCCAGACAGCAGAGTAGGATGCTGCTATCATGTACTTCGCCGGAGCCCTTCTCAACGACCACGAGGTAGGTACCCCGCCACTCTTCACTTCTTCACGGTCTTCTTGTTCCCCAAAGGATCTCCCCTTCTACTGCCACCCTTCTTGTCTCCCTCGCCGTCCAACCTACCTATGGACACCCACCATCATCATCATCGGCACAAACAGCTGCGACGATCAATCTTCGCGACATTGGCAATGCAGTCGGGTTATACCTTCGATCACGTCATTACCGTCGATCACGTCATTGCATCCTCATCGTCCTCAATGTGGTCCGTATTCCGATGTTCAAATCTTTAGCAGCATTATCGTCGCCATCATCACTATCATCTACAGCCGCACCGGCAACCGCACCATCGACAACTCCATCACCGAGCCCTCGGCCGACTGCAGAGGAGAGCAAAAACTGGCCGACGAAAGGGGTGAAATGCGCACCCAGGCATATCGTCGTCAGCACCAGAGGACGATTACCAGCATTATTAACTGCATTATCATCGTCGCCATCGCTATCAGCATGATCCGCAGCTGCTCAAGCAGCGTCATCACCATCATTCGCAGCAGCTCAACCAGCGGCACCGTGGCGGCTCAATCAAAACGGCCATCTGGATCGAGACGCAGAACCAAAATCGTCATCATCGGGCAGAGATGTCATCACCGTCCTCATCGTCATCATCATTGGACCTCAATCAACGAGGATGTTGCCATCAAGTAACGAGCGCGGAAACGAACGTCCATGGCAGAGGGAAAATATCAATTACTTCCCAACTGCCGCCTCCTGGTGGTGCCTCGCCTTGATTTTCTCCGCGCCCACGTTTCGACCAAACATCATCATCATCATCATCATCATCATCATGTCATCATCATGTCATCATCATTATCATGCCATCATCACTATCATCATCGTCGTCGTCGTCATCATCATATCATCGTAATCGCCATCTTGATATCATCGTCGTCGTCGTTGTCCTCATCATGCTCGCCGTTATCATCATTCGCCATCATGGTCATCCTCGTTATTGCACCTCAATCAACGACCTTGGTGCCATCAAGGAACAAGGGCAACAACGAACGGCCGTCCTAAGTGAAAATGCAGCGCAAGCATCATCATCATCGACAACGAACAACCGCTTCCGACCTGCTCGCCGATGGAAAACGCCTCGCGGGAATATTCACCGCTTAGATTCGATCATCATCACCCTAACATCATCATCATCAATCATCATCATCATCATCATCATTAATCATCATCATCAGTATTCACCACCAATCATCACCGATCATCATCAATCATCATCATCATCATCATGGCATTCATCAACGACCATCGTCATCAATCATCAATCATCAATCATCATCAATCATCAATCATCAATCATCATCGTATTCATCATCGATCATGACCAATCATAATCAATCATTATCATGATCGTCATGGTATTCATCATCAATCATCAGCATCCATCACCATCATCATCATCATCATCATCATCATCGCAATCTTCCTTCATCATCGCTGATAACCCTCCGCATGCTCATTGCTACCGTACGTCTTGATCGTCATCATCATGATCGTACTCGGCGTTGGTGATACCTCTCCCTCTCCGCTTCCATTCGCTCTCAAGCGAACACGACGACGATGACTGAACTCGCACGATCCCGGCGATACCTACCTCTTCCAATCCATACATTACCACAACCGAGCTCCTGTTCATCCATCCTCCCCCTCTCCTAATCATCGTCCAGATTTCTCCTCTCCTGTTCATCCATCCTCCCCTCTCCGTTGGGTATGAAAAATTCAAGCTCCGGCTAAGTTGAGACGTCTCTCTCCTGTTCATCCATCCTCCCCCTCTCCTGATCATCGTCCAGATTTACTCGAATTTTTCAAACCCAAAACTACGCCTGGGCATGTTCTTTTTTTTTTTTTGCATTTTCATGAATTCTGCATTCCGAAATATCTGATCTATAAAAAAAAAAAAAAAAAAAAAAGAGAGAGTCATGGCTGGGGTATGGAATAACGAAAAGAGGAGAAGCAGTTGGGGAGGGCCAGGAGGCAAAATCAGCAAAGAAAAAGGAACAAAAGGTGAAACCAATAGCGAACCGAGGATAAGCAGATGGAGGGAGGGCAAGGAGGCAACATCAGGAAAGAAAAAGGCAAAACCTGAAAAGCGAAGGAACTCTTTTCCTTTTGTTTTTTTGCTTTTTTTGTAAAAAAAGCTGATGAAAAACGGTGCAAAGTGAAAAAGATGTCGACTGAACTCTTTTCCCTTTTTTTTCGTGTTTTTAGTTAAAAGCTAGGCTGCCAGAGTGGCACGGGACAATTTCCCCGGCCGGGCCAAAAAAATACATAAAAATCATAATAATTTTTATTTTTCACTTCAAATTTGGTAAAGAATTTCGATGTTCAGTTTATTTTTCTGCACAGCATTGCTTTTTTTCCGGATTTTTTGGATTTTTTTTTCTTTTGCTGGACCCTTCCCTGGTCCCCGCACGGCCAGGCCACCTGGCCAAACAAGGTGGCCCGGGCGGGCCGGCTGGTAGCCCAGGTAAAAAATCTAAATAGCCCAACCCAACTCAATCTTCACTCCTTAGGCAGAAAAAATAAACAGAGAAACCAAAGGCGAACACTTTGGGGAAAARAATGGCCCAATGAGCTGTCTTTTGTTAAAAAAAAAAAAAAAAAAAAAGGATGGCCCCTTCGCAAGGATAAGAAGAGATTGGGAAACCCCCAAAACCAGACTCGAACGACAGGATGGGTACATATCCGCCAAGAGATTTTGAATGCATCTGGAAAAGTTGCGTGTCCAGATGCATTCAAAATGTTGGGGTATGGCGAGTGGTGCAACTACCGGTAGGCCCATGGGCTGATATCCAGGCAAACGGAACGAAGGGGGGGAGGGGGGAAATCGGGCAGAAGACATAACTATTCCTTGCTCCCCACACATCCAAAGCGATTTTTTATTTTTATTTTTTTTAAAAGGTAATTCAAAGCGATTAGAAAAAGACAGCAGAGAGAAAGAGAAAAAAGAGAAAAAGAGCGAGAAAAGAGAGAGAGGGAGGGAGAGAGAGAGAGAGAGTGAGAGAAGAAGAGAGAGGGAGAGCACGCGCCAGTACATTATGTCTTTCTGCGATTGGCCCCATTCTCTCGATATTGCCCGCCTGTTGTTTTGTCAATCAACCTCTCTCTCTCTCTCTCTCTCTCTCTCTCTCTCTCTCTCTCTCTCTCTCTCTCTCTCTACACACAAAAATAATACACCTCGCTCCAGTAGACAACATTTGCTGAACGTATCTAGAAAATCAGCCCAGATCCAGACACATTCGAAATTGGACTGACCAAACATTCTGGCTGTATCGGGACCACAAGATCCATCCAAATCCATTTGCAAATTGAATGTTCTGCGAGCCCCATTTAGCGCCACACAGACATCATTATGTCTCGAAATGTTGACGGCAACATATATAGTTGGTAAACCACACTCTCAAAACAAAAAAGGAACTGTCCTCGGGGAACATCCGTAAAACTCGGAACGATACAGAAAAAAGAGCAGATCGGCATGGCCCCTGCGAATGGATGGATAACACGCATAAAAATTGAGACATATGGTCCAAATTCTGTAAAAATGAAAAGCAAAAAAAAAAAAAAAACCGAAAAAAAAGAAAAGAGGAAACACACATAGAACCCAACCCCCCGGGGAGCTCACCTCTTCTTTCATCTTGTCTTGGAACGTTGACGGCAACATATTTGGAAAAATCTTCAAAAAGAACGGCAGCAAAAACTCCATGAATGGGACAATGATGAAGACCGCGAAGGGTACCAAGCGGAAGACGTCGGCTGCGGTTCGCGTAAGCTGTTCCCTCTCCCTTCTGCTGAGCGTTTTCCCCATCGCCAGCTTCATCAATAACCTGGACGCGATCCTGACATCCGCCCACAGCAATTTCGTCCCTAGCCAGTAATGTCGAGCTTCGGCTATGGCCGCCTTCTTCCATCCTTTAATCTTCTTCTGCCAATCTGCCCTACTCATTCCAGCAATGGCTCTCAAAACCGCACCCAACCGCACAACCGCCTGAACGACACGTGCCAAAACGCCCACCGGTAGCTTCACCGCCTGCTGCAAAACCTGTCCCTTCTCTTTGGAACCCGCGCTCGCCTCCGCGAGAGCCGCTTTCTCCTGCGCGAGCTTCACCTTCGCCTTGGTGATGGACAAATCATCCACTGCCACGTCACATGCCTCAGCGATATCATCCAGCGCCGGCGGCGCCGCCGCCACCGTGGCCGTGGCCGGAATCCCATCTCCGGGTCTCGATCGTTTCTCAGACGCCTCCCATGTGGAGGAGGTAGATACAGACGCCGCGTCTGCCGCCCGCGGTGCCGGCGAGGAGGAGGAGGAGGAGGAGGAGGAGGAAGGTGGGGAAATAGGGGTCGAGGGAGAGGACGACGAGGACACAGAGGGAGTAGACATGGAGAGCCATCGCACAGGGATGGGATCACGGCAGCCTCGCACGCGTGTTGAGTCAGGGCAAACCTGTACATAAGTAGCAAAAGAGACGCGAGTGGAAAGGGGAAGAGGAGGAGAAGCAGCAGCAGCACAAGAAGAAGCAGAGATTATAGGAGAAGACGAAGGCGCTGCTAATGCGGTCGAACAGTTTGTTCCACCATGCGATCTTTTTGCCACATGGCAAGATTCCGTTTCCGTGAAGAAGGGGACAGCTCCGTCCTCCCTCTTCCAGCGCCACGATACATGGTCCACATCAACCTTCTTCAGTGGGTGGGATTCGATCCCCGGACAGCTGATGGTGGAAGCCTCCCTCCCCTCCCCCCCCCTCTCTGGGTGATCCCAGAGACTCTTCGCTTGCGAGATTGATCTTCTCCCCAGGCTACAGGAAGAGCTCAGCCGCACAACCCATGGCTCTATCACTGGGAACTGTTTTGGCATTTGGGGGGGACCACCTCGCCCTCTTACTACGTCTCTGCGAAGACATGTGGGGGGAGCATCACAGCGAAGATGCCGCGAAACCAAGAGGGGGGGGGGACCACCTCGCCCTCTAATTGCGCGCGTGCTTCTCCTGATGAGATGGCGCCCACTCCAGGTCATCAATGACCCCTGAATGAACGTCATCGTTAAACCCCTACTCTATCCTCCTACTCACCCTCTCCACTATCACCCCTCCCACCCCTCCTTCCTCCCTCCCTCTGCCCTCCAACCCCTCGTTACGCCCGCCAATAATCAAATGCACTTCCTCAGCTCCTCATTCCTGACAGGTGCCTGCTCTCCCAGCTTCTCGAGGAGACGACCTACCCACGTATGCATGTTCCACTCTGGCTCTGTCAAAAAGCCATGCAGCCCTTAATGCGCTCAATCCTGTCACCCCATCATATGAATCTTCACGTGATCACCATTATCACTTACGCTGACGACCAAAGTTCCGTTTCCCTCGCGATCCCCCGGTGCCATACCGGCGAGTCGATGGCCACTGATTACTTCCCATCTTAAATCGACAGGTCACAGATCCAATCTCTCTCTCTCTCTCTCTCTCTCTCTCTCTCTCTCTCTCTCTCTCTCTCTCTCTCTCTCTCTCTCTCTCNCTCTCTCTCTCTCTCTCTCTCTCTCTCTCTCTCTCTCTCTCTCTCTCTCTCTCTCTCTCTCTCTCTCTCTCTCTGTGTATCTATCTCTCTATCTCACGCGCGCAGACTCAACACACACACAAAAACAAAAACACCCACACAGCTCGGATTTGACGCCCTCACTTGTCTTCCCGCCCTGCCAAAAATGTTGGGTACTGCCCTTTCCTCGACCTTTGATCCCTGTCCAGAACGTTAGAATTCACCGAATCTAATTAAAAAAAAAAAAAAAAAATTCACCAAATCCAGAGATGTTTGTACATGCTCGATGCGGAGGACGATGGACGCGCAACAGATCGTCTTTGGGCGTCGATATCCAGCCAGGACAGGACAGATTGAGCAGTTTTGATGAACCGTCTGCCGCAATTGCTAGGGAATCGAGACATGAGCGGCAAATTGCAGCCGGTTCTACCTCGATATTTTTTACCTCTCCCCTTCCGTAACATGTCGTCCAATTCCTCATTTCCAAAACCACCGACTTCCCGCCCACACGTTCAACTCCTAATTTCCAAGACCATCGAGTTCCCGCCCCACACATTCAATTCCAAAACCATCGACTTCCCGCCCACACATGGGCTCACATTCCTGCAGCTCAACGATTAGTCTCCTTGCTGGCGCCTTCGAGTATGGTTCGAACAGAAGGTGATGGCAGTCACGGACCATTTTCACGTCCGCCGGATCAGTTCCCGCTCATTGAGGGTCCCGGCAATGCGTGCGCAAGAGAAGCGAAATGTGGCGCGCTCACTCCTAAGAGAGTCAGATCGTGTGTCTGTTGAATTCTGCGGTGGTTCGACCTTCCCGCGCCATTCCTTGTCCGTTTTTCCGTCTTTCCCCAGCTCGTCATCCAGGTTCGTTTTCCTTGTCCGTTTTCCCGTCTTTCCCCAGCTCGTCATCCAGGTTCGACCACATGGCCCCGGCAACTTTTTGCCACAATTTGTGAAAAACCAAAAAAATGCCAGAGTCCCAAGCGGCTTTCAATTGATTGTTACGAGCTACTCAGCGGCCTAGCTCAATGGGTAAGGCATGAAAGTAGCATTCAGAAGGTCCTGGGTTCAATACCCGTGGACTGCCGGTACCTTCCTGAGCCAGCTTGGAGCCCGCCACCTAGAGATAGGTCATGGGTCCCCCCAAGCGGCATTGAGCAGAGACTGCTGATGTTCGCAGCCTGTCAGGGTTGCATTTCTGCGTTTCCCCCCCCTGAGACATGTCAACGTCAATCAAATTTCAACATCGGTGGTCGTCGGGAGGGTGGGCATTTTGAGGTTTTGGGGCCTTGCAAGGGCCAGGACTGTGTTGGACCGGTAGCTGCGCGTAGGAGGCCGAGGAGGCCGCAGTCCTTTTTCAAAATTGAAACGGTGCGGGTCCACTTTTCTCGAATAGCAAAGTTCCTCGAATAGAAAACGTACACGTTGTATTCAAATGCAACCTGTACTCTTTCTATTCGGATTTCGAAAAGAAAAAACTCTTGTATTCTGATAAAATTACTTCTTCTTTTTGTTGGTGGTCAGCGCCTACCCTTGTGCTCCCCGCCACTGACATGTTGCATGCTACAGGTCTCTCTCTCTCTCTCTCTCTCTCTCTCTCTCTCTCTCTCTCTCTCTCTCTCTCTCTCTCTCTCTCTCTCTC